ATATGAAATTTTAGAGAGGAAAAAGTTAGGAAAAATATTAAATTTTTAGAAAGAGAAATGAAACCGGTCTATTAAAAAAACAAAAATACATAAAAATTTGGAGAGGGACAAATAACAATAAATTTTTAAAATATGAAAATTTTAGAGTGAGAAAAATAAAGTTTGTAGAGAGAAATTTAGAAATAAAAAAAATTAGAGTGAAAAATAATTTTTTTTGAGATGAGAAAGAAAAAAAAAAGTTGAGTATTGGAAGAAAAATGAGATTTTAAAAAACAAAAACCTGTTTTTGAAAACTAATTTTTTTTTAAAATTTATATAAAATTTCAAAGTGATTTTTGAAAAACAAAAAATAAAAAATTGAATCWGTTATCAAACTACCCTATTTTTGAAAAACTAAGAACCAAAAACTAAAAACGAAATGGTTATCAAACGAGCCCTTAGTTGTTATTTTTTATAGAAATTTTAGAAACAACTAACAAAAGTTTCGTCTTTTCTTGTATTCATTTCGAATTTGTTCATGTACATAAAAAAAACGGGTATCAAACGAACCCTTAATTAGTAAGCTTTGTACCCAGGGAAGGTTTGAATTCCCTCCCTTGATGCCCACAATTATAGTGCTATATTCTAAAATTAAAAGTAAGAGTATTTATTTGTTAAAAACAAAATAATGTTATGGGTAAAAATAATTATTTTTTCAAGGTTCATGTTTAGGTACTAAAAATAATAATTTAAAAGTTCAGGGACCAAAATATAGTATTGAAAAATTGCAGTGACTAAAATAAACATCGAACCAATATTATGATAAACACTTGAGTTGCTCTAGTTCAAATCCTCACGCCCCGTTACATTATACTAAAAAAAAGGGAAAAACAATAAACACCGCAGCTCTTTCAATGGTGTGGTACACTTTATTCGTTTGATGATTCTATATATTGAAAGGTGCAAAAGATTAATGTCATTCATGTGATATATATTGTGTACCATCAAGTCCAGGTAGTAAATTTAAATTAATAATAAATAATCAAACTCAAAATAATACCATATTATTAATATGTTACATGAGTTTATGTTAATTTTTGTCATATTTATTTAAAGTTCTAGTGTGGTTGTTTATTGAAATATAAGTTTGTTAGAGCGTGATTAGAGTATTAAGTTTTCGTTGATATGGTAGATACTTTTATTAAGATTTTTGGACAGTGAGTTCAAATCTCCGTCCTATATAGTGTACTAAAAAAAACATTGATATAGATAAGAGGTGAATCGATATTTTTATTATACGATAAAACAATCCATAAATATAAAAAATGTATGTTTAATAAAAAAAAAATATATATATATATATATATATATATTTTAACAATATTTTTTGTTGGCTTATTTAAAATTTGTGAAATATTTATTTGTTGATTGAAGTTTATTTTCATGATTTTTTCTTTTTGAATTTCGAGAAATACTGATAAGCATTGAAATTTTATTAGTATTCACATTAACAATTCCATAAAATTTAAACCTCAATATTTCACATCCATAATTAAATCTTACCATATAACAAGGATTTTTATTTTTATTTTTTAATTTCAAGGTGTCTTTTCAATCGTCCAAAAAACTGCTTTTTTGTTAGAAATTTTACTTCTAAATAAAGTAGACTATTTATTTCAATAATTTTGTTATGAAGTTATTTTATTTAATAAGCCACATTTTATAATATTCAATTGAAGTTGACCACTTTTATTTATTTATTTATTATTACTATTATTATTTCTTTTTTTTTTTTTTGAGAAAATTTAAGTTGACCCTTAAAAGGATATCTACAGAAATCATTTCTGAGCTGGAGCCTTTCTTTGTTAGGTGTAATCCAAGCTGGACATTAATTCATGGGGAAAATTTATGGTATTACGAAAAGTATGGAGAAATTTTATAGTACTTCCTAGTATGGAGGTTTTTCTTACCTTCCCCGTTTAGAGTGTTACGTGTAAAGTAGTTATGTTATTATATAAATAAAAAAATGAATATTTTTCAGGTAGAATCTACCTATTCAGAAGCAAAATTACTCGGTTTAATTTTAAGAATAATGTAGTTTTAAAAACAAATTATAAAAATAATGCAGATTTAAAGATAATAACAAAATAAATATAATTTAAATAAAAAATTATAGAATTAAGTTAGRCATCCAAACTATTGGCAAAAATAGGTTAGATGTTCCTCAAAGGAAAAAATCTCATACAAATGCGATTTAAGTGCTAATACGTCATATATGAGATTGATATGGGGGATAAGTTAGAGAAGAAATCGCGTACATTCATAAAAGTAGCATACAACGTACACAATTTCCATGAATTTTTACATTTTAAGTTGATTTACCTCAACAACGAGATCCATAGTTGGTGTCAGCACCGCTCTTAGGTCACTTGGAGTCTTAATTTTCTAACGTAGACTCGTCGAGCATTTAAAGATTGAATCTTAAGAACGACATCTTGGACAACTATAGACTAATTAACTCCCTAGACTGATCTCAATTTTAAAACTCATAATTATTGTAGAAGATTGTAAACCTATAATATATTAAAGAGCTAAAATGTTGAAAAAATATTTGGACCATTTTGTCCCATGTTAAATTTTTTATTTACAAACATACGACTTATAATGAATTACCAAGTGAGAGGTAAATCTATTTAAGAAAGTTGTGTATAGACATGCATCTTTGTTTTTTTTTCCCTACTATTATTTTCTTTTCTTCGTATGTAATTAATGTTTTTATTATTCAAGATATACTTTGGGTTTGCAAATAAATTCATTTTATAAAAAACTAGCATCTTTGTTAAATTATAGTATTTTATTTGGTAAATTTAAATTTATTATGTTATTATTCCTGATACACTACTTTTAACCATCTATTTTTTTAGGAATGTAATTAATTTTGTTTTATCATTCCTTTAATTATATAAATTAAAGAAAATTATTGCTAAAACGAAAAAATTTATGGTACTACGTGAGTACCTACTCCCTTGGTACTTCTTTTGTTCACGCCATAATTTTTTATTTATATAAAAGTCTTTTTTTAGTATAAAATATAGGGATAGGGGATCGAAGTTACAACCCCTAGTTCCAGATATATGTCAATTATCAYTAAACTATGCTCATTTTGACTATATAAAAATCTGTAACGATGGTAGATCTCATATTATTTTCAAATAATATATACTGATGTGACACACAAAGTGTATTGTTCTCTAATGRTAAGAAAGTTTTTCATATAATCTAAATGGTACAAGGTGTAAAGTAAYTTTATCGTTATATAGTTAAAAAGTATATATAATTTTTATGTGGGACCTACACGTTTGGAAGCAAAATTACTCTACCGTATCTTACTTTTTCTCTCATGATTTAATGGTACATTTTCTCTTGTGTTAAATATTATTATATGTGATTATTTAYTTTCTATTTTCTGATTTATTTTTTTCTTTATTGTTATTTACACCTTTATTAACTTCTGTCATTCTCCATTTTCATTTCTTGAATTTTTCTCCAAACATACTAARTTTGTTTTTTTTTTCTATTGCTATTACTTTTGTTTACAACTTTAACTTTCTTTGTTCAGTATGTTATAGTTGACTTTCTTTTAACGTACAACGTRCGTATGAATTAAATGTTTAGTACAACATACGTATGAATTAAAATTACAATTTTTTTTATTGGAATATATACTTCAACCAGCTATACTAATATATTTTCACTTTCTTTTTTTTATTGTCACTATTATTTCACTTTTTACTCTTTCTTCGAACCAATACAATTTATATTTGAATAATTTTAATCTTTTTGTCTATTTTCATTTGCAAATTTCTAAGATAAGAAAGACCGTTTATATATTTTATTTTGATATTTTCATCCTGTTTGTAATTTTATTTTCAAATAGCTAATTATTGTTTGTATCATTTAATTAATATTATAATTAGATTTTATTTGTTAATATGTTCTTTTTTTTATTTGTATCYTTATTTTCAAATTAAAACAAAACTTTAAAAAGTAGATATTTAACCAAACTTAAAAAATTAAATTCAACCTATTTTATTTGTTACCCATTTTGATATCTATTTTTTAATAGACGTACAAATATCGAATAATAAAACATGAATAATATATTTACATATATTAAAAAATGTGTCATGAACGTATTTGAAAAATTCTAGAATAAATGTTCTGAACTAGTCATTGATTTGAGACAAAAATTTTAACTAAACCTAAAGTTTAACAATATTTTTACTCAAAGACAAAAAAATGTATTTATAATAAAATAATTAAAATTCACAAAATGATGAATTTAAAAAACGTAAGGAATTAAACCTAACATACTTAGAGATTCACTTTTTCACTTGGAGATAAATACATCCAAATATTTTTAAGTATTGAGAAAAAATGAAACAAAAATATAAAATGATTAGAATGGATCAATATAGAAAAAAAAAGTAATAAAGAACAAGAAAAATTAAATATAGATAGAAAAGTCATACGTAATTTTAATGGTGAAGTGCAAATAGTTAAAGTAAGAAAAGAAGAAATTGAGTTTGAAGGGAGAAAAATTCAACCAATGAAAATGGACAATAAGAGAAGTAAGTGAAGGTATAAATAACAATCAAGAAATAAATTAAAAAAGTAAAATAACAAATCACATATAATAATGTCAAAAMSAATCTAGCTCAACAGTAATTAATATATATCTCCAACGAAGAGGTTGTAAGTTCGATCCCGATTYCACATGTTGTACTAAAATATGATGATAATATGGAAAGTTTGGTACCACAGGAGGACCAGAAATTTTTCCTTATGGTCAACACATGACGACATGCATGCATGAACATTTAGAAACATTAATTTACTACAAACACAAAACGCAACCATATTTCAAATATGGAGTTCAAAATGAAGAATATGGAAGGTGGCTCCACGTATAAATATATAATATCCTTTATTAATTCTCCATCTTTTCCATTATCCCATAATTGGAATTGCAAACTCAGTTCTTTCTGCTGCTCATCTGCACTTCAAATTACACATAAAATTACTTTCAAGTAAAAAAAAAAAATAATCAATTCTACCTTTTCTGATAACGAGAGCAGCAGCCATGGACTTGTTGAGGGCTACATCACTTGTTTTAATGGCAGCCGCTGTTCTTTGCCATCAACTTCCTCTCATCAGTAAGCTTCTTCTCCAGCTCTTTTTACCTTACAGAAACTGCCCTTGATAGCAAGAAATTTTGCAGAAATTTAAGGTGGAAATTTGAAGATCTCATACTATCAAAACTATAAATTTAATCTTTTATAAATATCTTAATATRTTATTTTGTTTGTGTTTGGCAGGTGGTTTGGGTGGCATTGGGGTCAACTATGGGCTGAATGGTGACAATCTACCACAACCAAATGATGTTATAAGTCTGTATGGGCGGTGTGGTATCGATATCGTGCGGATATTTGAGCCTAATCACGGCGTTTTGGATGCGATGCGTGGGAAACCAAATGCCCTGTGGCTGGGAACAAGAAATGAAGACATACCCAGCTTCGCCATCAACCAAACAGCAGCCAACGCTTGGGTTAACGCTAACGTGGTTCCTTATTATGCAGATGTCAATATCGCATACATCACCGTCGGTAACGAAGTCATCCCTGCCGACCCAGCCGCACCTTTTGTTGCTAATGCCATTAGAAATATAATGCAGGCGCTTGCCATTACCGGAGTCAAGAAGGCCATAAAGGTAATGTGTAAGCTAAGTTTTTTTTTCTTTTTTTGTTTAAATTTGGTGTCACCGACATTTGGGTTTAGTTTCACTCAAATTTCTATAATTTCAAAATTTTAATTTTGTTAAGATGGTTAGATAGTTATTATTATTATATTGAACATGTAACATGTTTATTATTTATTTAGCAATGAATTAATGTTTTCTATCGAAGTGAGCATAACTCAACGGTAATTGATATATATCTTCAATCGAGAGGTTGTGAGTTCGATCCTCCACCCACATGTTGTGCTAAAAAAAAATTAATGTTTTCTATTTATATATTAGTTAACACAATATTAATTGAGTGATAAATAAAAAAATAAGGAAAATAAATAGATAGGTATCGTAAAAGTGACCATTTATGGATAAATCTGTGAGATTTAACCTAAACATAAATATATTAGATTAAAACTTTAAAATTTTATAGATGAAAATAAAAATTTTGAAAAGATTAAATTGAAATTAAGCCAAAGCCACGTAAACCAAGTTTGCAATTTAATCCTAAAAATTAAAAATTATCCAAATTTCTTATTATATATATATATATATACTTGCACAGGTAACGACGGTGGTCCCTATGAGCGCCATGGGAGTCTCGTACCCACCCTCAGCTGGAACATTCACAGCTGTCGCCTTGGGGCCTCTAAGCAACATCGCAAAGGTGGTCGGTTCTAGCGGCGCACCACTACTATTGAATGTGTATCCATATTTTGCATACGCATCAAACCCACAACAGATTTCTTTAAATTATGCACTCTTCACTTCGACGACGCCTATTGTGGATGGAAATTTGCACTATTACAATCTGTTTGATGCTATGGTGGATTCTTTCTATGCGGCGTTAGAGAAGATTGGCGCTACCAATGTAACACTGGAGATTTCGGAGACTGGATGGCCGACTAAAGGGAATGAGCCGTTCACAAGTGTTGAGAATGCAGTGACATATAACAAAAATTTTGTGAACCATGTGAGCAGTGGTGCAGGAACTCCGAGGAGGCCGAATGTGAAGTATAGTGGAATTTTATTTGAAATGTTCAATGAAGATCTTAAGGCGGCTGGAATTGAGCAGAATTTTGGGTTCTTTTATCCTAATATGCACCCGGTTTATCCATTTTGGAATTGCTAATTAATTAAGAACGGGAAAAGAGCTAAATATATAAATTCAGAAATGTTTGTGACAATCAAAATGTTGCAATCATAAGCTTCGATGGCATCATATTCTCGAATTTTCAATTCAATAAATTTGCAAATTTTTTTTGAAGACATCGTCATGAGGATTTGAACTGAATCTCCAACTTCAAAAGAAAAAGTTACATTTTTTTTTGAAAAGATACATGAACCATTTCATTAGAAGTATGTGAGAAACATACACAAAAGGGAAGGCTATATGAAAGCACTCAAATTGAGAGAAATGAAAGAGATATCTGTTGGTTTTTTAAGGTGTAAAAGAAAGTGAAACTTAAAAGAAATTATTTACATATACGTTGTGAATATTATTCTTATTTATTATTATAGTGGTTTTGTTTCTTTATTTTATTAAATTTTAAGTTATCTTATTATTTTGTTAAAGTTACAAATATATGTGTTAAAGTTACATTTGTAACATATGTAAAAATGTTACATATATGTTTAATTTTGAGTGAGAGGTTACTTGTTTGTACAACTATATATAGTTGTGGATTTCTTCATTTTGAGATATCCAAACATACCTCAATTGAGTATTCTACTCCTCTCACAAGAATTCTATCTTCTTTTTGAGTTCTTATTCTTGTTTATGTTGAGAGCAAGTATTTAAGAGTTCTACCAAATCCGAGTAGTTCGAGGTTGCAGTTTTACCGGAGTTAGTCGTTGTATCCTGCTGAGATGATCGCTGTAGTCTGATAGCAACTTGTGCAGAGCGAATAATTGTCTTCAGGCCAGCGCTATTGAAGCGTGCCTCGACTATTTTTATCAAGTTTTGGTATTCATCAAATTGTCAGAACTATACTGTTTGTAGCCAGCTACGTTGTAGTCTGTTTACCAGTGTTATTCAGTTTACATATACATCGTATACTTACCCAAAAATCTGAAGACAATTATCATGGCTACAAACACTTCCACCGATGCTCTTACGATGATGGGATCGACCATTGTCAAATCACATGCTGAAAAACCAGAGAAGTTCAAGGGAGAAAACTTCAAAAGATGGCATTAGAAGATGATCTTCTACCTTACCATAGCTCACATCCTAAAAGAAGTATGCCCAATTACTCCCCTAGAAGCAATCACTCTGGAAACTGAAGCTACCAAGCAAGCATGGTTGTATTCAGACTTCCTATGTCGCAACTACATTCTGAGTTGTCTAGATGACACCTTGTATAATGTCTACTACAATGCCTTTGATACTTCAAGGCAGTTGTGGGAGACATTAGACAAGAAGTATAAGTTGGAAGATTCTGATACTAAAAAATTCCTTGTTAGAAAGTTTTAGATTACAAAATGGTTGATACCAAGTTGGTAGTCAACCAGTTGGAAGAATTGCAACTTATCATTAGTGATTTGAAAATTGAAGGATTGGTCATTAATGAACCATTCCAAGTTGCTGCTGTGATTGAGAAATTGCCTCCTGCTTGGAAAGAATTCAAATTTTATCTCAAACACAAGCGAAAGAAGTTGTCAATGGAGAATCTTACTGTGAAACTCCGTATTGAAGAGGACGACAGAAAGGGAGACAAAGAGCCACGTAAAGTTGAAGCTAATACACATATTGCTGAAGCTTCAAGACGTCATCCCAAGAAAAATCAATCCAAGACAAAGAATGTGAATCTTGGGCCAAGGAATGATGCTAACAAGCGCATTCGTGCAATCTGATGAGTTTATGGCAAGAGTGGTCATATAGCTACAAACTGTAGACACAAGAAGGGACAAAGCTCCAACAACCAAGCCAAAACTATGGAAGATAACAATTTAATTGCTGTCATCTCTGAGGTAAATATGACATCTGACACCAAAGGCTGGTGGATTGATACTGGTGCTACTAGGCACGTTTGTGGGGACAAATCACTGTTCACCAATTATGAGAAGCTAGATGGTAGTGATAAACTGTACATGGGAAACGCTTCAACAACTTCAGTGGAAGACAGAGGAAAAGTCCTACTGAAATGGACTTTTGGAAAGATACTTACCCTGACTGATGTGTGGCATGCACCAGAAATTAGAAAGAATCTTGTGTCAGGAACCCTACTAAAAAAATGGGTTCAAGCTTGTATTTGAGTCAGATAAGTTTATTCTGACTAAGGGGGTATGTATGTGGGAAAATGCTATCTGAATGATGACATGTTTAAATTGAATGTACTGGCACAAATGCCCAAGAATAATAATAATAACAACTCTTCTGTTTATATTGTTGAGTTGTGTGATGTATGGCATTCTAGATTGGAGTATGTCAATTATCATTCTTTACAAAGAATGGCAAGTTTAGGATTGTTGCCTAACTTTAACATTGATAATAGACACAGATGTGAAGTTTGTGTTGAATCAAAGTTTTCTAGAAAGTCATTTTCATCTGTGGAAAGAAGTAATGAGTTACTTGATTTAATTCACAATGATGTATGTGACTTAAAAAGTACTCCTACTCCCACAAAGGGTGGTAAGAGATACTTTGTCACATTTATTGATGATTGTAGTAAATATTGCTATGTATATTTATTACATAGTAAAGATGAGACCTTAGATGTTTTCAAATCGTATAAGGCAGAAGTTGAAAATCAACTTGAGAGGAAAATAAAGGTGCTTAGATTAGATAGATGTGGTGAATATGAATCATCATCACTTTCTGAATTTTGTGAACTTAATGGTATAATCCATCAAACTACAACATCTTACACACCACAACAAAATGGTGTAGCTGAAAAAAAGAACCGAACTTTGAAAGACATGGTAAATTGCACGTTAAATAGTTCATGTTTACCCCTATAATTTGTAGGGGGGCTTTGCTTACAGCAAATTTTATCTTAAATAAAATTCCACATAAGAAGACTAATAAGTCGCCTTATAAAGTGTGGAAAAAAAGTTACCCTCATATAAAATACTGAAAGTGTGGGGCTGTTTGGCAAAGGTATAAGTTCCTTTACCAAAAAGGACAAAACTTGGACCGAAGACAGTTGATTGTGTTTTTATAGGCTATGCTATGCATAGTGCTGCTTATAGCTTCCTCGTGATTAAATAAAAAATACTTGATATTAATAATAATACTATTATGGAATCTATTGAAATTGAATTCTTTGAGGATATATTTCCTTTTAAAGAAGAAATACCAAAAGGTAATGGTACCAAAAGGAATCATGATGCTAGCCCTTCGAAAGATCAAAACGATCAGGAAACTGAGATCGAACCTAGAAGAAGCAAAAGAGCTAAGAAAGCTACTTCCTTTGGACCCGATTTCATAACTTATATGATAGATGGGGAGCCTCAAAATTTTCAAGAAGCTGTGTCATCTCCAGATGCACCTTATTGGAGAGAAGCTATCAATCGTGAGATAAAATCCATTTTGCAGAACAATACCTAGGTATTGGTTGATTTACATCCTAGAAGTAAACCAATTGGAAGTAAATGGATTTTCAAAAGAAAGCTAAAGGCAGATGACACTATTGATAAATGTAAAGCCCATTTAGTAGCTAAAGACTATCGTAAAAAAGAAGGGCTATTCTTTGATACCTATTCTCTAGTGATGAGGATTACATCTATAAGGATATTAATTGCTATAACATCTTTACAAAATTTGGAAATACACTAAATGGACGTAAAAACTGCATTTTTAAATGGAGATTTAGATGAAGAAATCTATATGAAACAACCTGAAGAGTTTATTGTAAAAGAACTTGAAAATAAAGTTTGTAAACTTGTCAAATCTCTTTATGAGTTGAAACAAGCAGCCAAACAATAACATAAGAAGTTTGATTACACTATGTTATCTAATGGATTTAAGATAAATGAGTGTGACAAATGTGTCTATGTTAAAACTATAAATAAAGATTGCATCATTGTTTGTTTATATGTTGATTATATGTTGATAATGRGCACAACTAGAAGTGTCATTGATTCCACTAAAAGGATGTTGAATTCCAACTTTGATATGAAAGACCTTGGTCTTGCTGATGTTATCCTTGGAATCAAATAACGAGAAATCCAAGTGGATATGTACTTTCTCAATATCATTACATAAAGAAAGTGTTGAGAAAATTTGGTCATTTTGAGAGTAAGCCGGTAGTTACTCCACTTGATCCAAATTGTAAGTTGAAGAAGAATAATGGTGAAGGTGTATCTTCTCTAGAATACTCTAGAGTTGTGGGTAGTTTAATGTACATAATGAATTATACAAGACCTGATATTGCCTATTCGGTAGGAAAACTAGCAAGATACACTAGCAATCCTGGGCATGATCATTGGAATGCGTTAGTCAGAGTTTTAAAGTACTTGGAGTACAATTTAGACTATGGATTGCATTATACGAAATATCCATCTATACTGGAAGGATTTAGAGATGCTAACTGTATCTCTGATAGCATGGAAACTAAATCAACCAGTGGGTATATATTTACCTTAGGTGGAGCAGCTGTATCATGGAAATCTTCAAAACAGACATGTATAGCATGGTCTACTATGGAATTAGAATTTATAGCTCTTTGTAAGGCTGAAGAAGAAGAAGAATGACTTCGAAATTTTCTTGAAGATATTTCATTATGGCCGAAGCCAGTAAGTACCATATGTATTTATTGTGACAGCTTAGCAGCCTCAATGAGAGCTAAGAATAATGTTTATAATGGAAAGTCACGACACATAAGACGCAGACATAATTCTATCAGGCAATTGCTCCCTAATGGAATAATTTACATTGATTATGTGAAATCAAAAGAAAATATTGTAGATCATTTGACGAAAGGAATATCAAGAGAGCAAGTTGCATATACATCGAGGGAAATAGGGCTAAAGCCTATGGAATGAAGTATCTGGTGGTAACCTGACCTAGTTAATTGGAGATCCCAAGATCTAGGTTCAATGGGCAAACTAGCTGGATAATTCATAGTTGACACACTAAGAAACTCATAGTTTCTTCCCATTTCTATGATGTTATGTTATGTGTTTGATCTATTGATGTTAAGGTCATATTGA